CCTTTAACATCTTTAACATCTGAAGAACCTTTCTGTTTCACAAAAGGTTCTTTGTGGCGAAAGAAGGTTCTAAAAAGATATAGAAAGAGATGGTTCTTTAAAGAACCTTTGACTGAATAGTTCTTTGTGGAACCAAAAATGGTTCTTCTATGGCATCGCTGTGAAGAACCTTTTAAGCACCATTATTTCTAAGAGTGTATATATACATACAAAAAACACACATTATATATATATTTTTTTTATTTATTTTTTTACTTTGCATTCACATTCGTGACTCTAAATGAGAAAACGTCACAAAATGTTAATATATAAATTGTTAAACCAGTGTTTAAAGCAGATTAAAAATCAAAAGCTGGCAAAATATTGGGGATAAAAGCACAAATAAAAAATAAAATAACTGCTTTGGTTAAATGACACTGATGGTTTACACTGATTGTACATTAAAAAAAAACAAACAATGTTTTTCATATTTTAACTTTGGTGCACAGAGCCCAACCACTATCTCAAGAGGCCTGAAATGATCAGATTCAGTAGTGTTTTCTAAAGCAACAAACCACTAAGTATTATGCTTCAGCACGTTTGCGGCATGAGTCACGAACATGAATAATAACTCTACTATCTAATAATAGCTTTACTATCACGACTGGATGACAGGAGCATGATAAACCAGCAGAAAAACAGCACAGACAAGAACCACTCACAATTTCTTAAATCTAGTTGGTTAAACTCTGGCAATACTCTGAAATGTATTATATCTCTTGTGCCAATATTTGAGACAGCATTTATTCAATAGCAAACACTATTTTGCTAATTATATCCCAGTTTAAGTCTTCAAAGTGTTCTTAAAACATGCATCCATCACCACAAACAGCGTTGCATCACCTCAAGGTCCGTGGTGAATGAATTCAGCTCTGTCTGTGTCTAATGCTTCGACTAAACTCACTGTATTATATGATGGCACAGAGGATTTGGACTCTAAAAATCCCACCCGGATTAATTAAGTCAGCAGCTTCCTTTAGAGCGGAAAAACTCAGAAGACATTTGTACAGAGCGGCGTTTGTGCTGAGCTGGCTACTTTCCCATGCTGCTCCACAGTGAGCTTTAAATACACCTGCGGTTTTTTGGGTAGAAGTCACAGTTTTGCACAGACCAATTTCCCAAGCGATTGTCTTAACCCTCGCTGTTAAAGGAGGAGAAGGAATCAACATGCCCCAAATTGTATGTAGAAAGGAAGAAGCTGTTTGTCACAAAGCAGTGAAGGCGACACCAGTGTGAGAACAGCAGCTTTGCTAAACCTAAATCTGAGAGGGACATAGAGCTGCATTGTTTAAACTATGTTAAGCTTCGTTTGTGAATGCACTTGGGGTCATGTGAATATTAACACATCTTACGGATGAGTAAGTGAGATGTGGTCTGTGTGGCCTTCTGTAAACTGAACCAAAGGATCCGATGAATGAGAGAAGCTTTTCATGCCGTCCTTAAGCCAGGATTAATGTCTCTTTTAACCCCGAGTTAAGGTCATTTTAACTCTGGGTCATGAAACGTTTCACATTTGTAATGTTGTGGTTATTCAGAGCAGAGCCGACACAACGCCAGCTGCTCTGAATGTAATGATCGACAGGCAGAGAGCGTTTCTGATTGGCTGGTCACTCCCTTGTTTGTGTTCCCAGAAACAGGTGTGATTTCTCAGGACACCGATACCTGTGAAACCTGTCAGGTAGTAGGAATATTTTATGCATGGTTTTCCAAAATAAATAAATAAATTGTGCAGAGAAAAAAAAAGTAAGTAGAGAAAAATCTAAAAGGTATAAATAAATAAATAAATAATCCATCTATATATATATATATATATATATAGTAACTTACTGCTTTAATAAAATAAATTAATAAAAATAATATAAAATCACACACACACACACATGTATATATACACATATATAATATTAAATATATATATTTAAAGTAATATATATATATATATATATAAAATATAATTTATATTTTTAAAACATTTAAATAATAAATAATAAAACACAAAAAGTATAAATAAATTATAGATTAGCTATATTTAATATATGAAACATACAGCTTACACATTTAATAGAATATATATATATATGGGGCTGCAAAACGAATAATCGCATTCAAAATAAAAGTCTATGTTTACATACTATACGTGTGTGTGTACTGTGTAGCCTATATTTATTATGTATATATTAGGTTAACATAAGATTAACATCTTGAAAGGGAGAGCTGGTTATGTAGTCTTAAAGGATAGTGTTTCAGTCTTATAAAGCTAATTTGCATCTGCAGTCCCTGCAGTCCCTATGAAACATGTGTAGTCTTCATGCTCTATGTTGACTATGGTTTCATTAATAATAAACATACATTTGCATAAAGCATCCATATCTGTCCATGCCCATGAGTATTAAAAACTTGAAAATGATTAATTTAAGGTACATTTAGAACAGATAAAAATGTGTGATTAAGTTGCGATTAATCACGAGTTAACTCATGACAATCATGCGATTAATCGCGATTAAATATTTGAATCGATTGACAGCCCTAGTATATAAATACACACACACACATATAAGTTTTTTTTTTTTTTAAATATTTGTATGCATATAAATTTATACTTGTATATAATTTATATTGTATATAAATATAAATATTTTATAAATAAATCCAACATCTGTCCTTAATATATACATGCATGTGTGTGTGTATTTATATATACATAATAAATTTACACAGTACACTAGGCTTGCCGCGATAGACGGTGTTGACGGTGATACCGGTGTTAAGCCCCAACACCGGTTACGTCACTTGCCCACCGTGGCACCGATCCCCACCAGAAGAGTGGGGTGAGACAGACAAGACGATCGCGGATGATTTAGTTTCGAAACGAAATGCAAAAGTGCTTGTTTGGCAATATTTTGGATTTTGAAAAGCTTGTTGACTTTTGCCGTTTATCTAAGGTGATTTTGGAAGTTTTTTTAAACATTCGTTTCTTATTTAATTGGTTCCATATTGTTTGCTGAGTTTTACTTTATTTAAACTTTGTGTCATTTATTTATTTATTTTACATCAAGGTGCATGCCGTGCCTCCAAGCTTTCTTACTCGTTTTGCTAATAAACGTTCTACGTTTCTTATTTATTTGGTTATATATTATACATGTTTACTTAGCCTATTTCCAGTTTTGTATACCTATTTAAACTTTATGTAAGTTATTTGTTATTTTATATTAGGCATAGCCTGCCCTATAGCATGGTGTATTTTTATTTGTTTTGTTAATAAAAGTTCTATGTTTTATATATAGGCTAAAGTGAGTTTGATGTTGTATTTTGTTGTTGCATTCAAGCAATTGACGCTGACTGCTGCTAATTCGAAAGCGAACGTAAAATGCGCACGGCGCTTTTAAGCTATTTAAAAGCGAGGAAAAGAGGGTAAATTCAAACGAACTAAAAACAAACAATTGCTTTACGCCGAATTGCCGTTATTTGAAAGTGAAAGTAAAATGCGCACTCAGCTTTTACAAGCTATTTAAAAGCAAAGGAAAGCAAGGAAAAGAGGGAACGCCCCCCGCGGTGATACCGGTGTTGTCACACGTTGATTAACCGGTGGGAAAATTTCCTCACCGTCACAACCCTACAGTACACACAACATATAGCATGTAAACATAAACTTTGATTTTGAATGCGATTAATCGCGATTAATCGTTTTGAAGCCCTATATATATATAAAATTGAAATTGCTCTGTAATACTAAATACCAGAATGGTTCTGATTGCGGGCTTCACATATTAAAGAGTTTCGCCCAGCTAACATGAACTTATTTACTCTGAGATAACACATTTCCTTCAAGTAGCCCTTCCTGCTCAGCTCAGCTATTTCCCGAAGACCAGCAATATTCCCATAAAGGATTTCACAAAACTGCCACCTCCTAACGTGCTGAAAAACACGACCTCCGGCATACTTGTGCAAGAAGTTCCTGTGGGTCAGTCAAACAACAGCTGGAGAGAAGAAACTTACCGACAACCACCAGCAGAGTCCATATCAGATAGATGCCGCTGTTGAAGTGCGTGGCGTACTGACGAAACAGACACATGAGGATTGGAGGCAAGACGAAGAACAGCACGTTGCTTATCTGAAAACAGACAGAAATCATACTAGACACTGGTAAACGCATGCATGTGAGAAAAGCGCAGCCTAAAGTTGACAAGAGTTCAACAGCAGCCGCTCACGCGCGCGCGACACAATGTGACACCGCAACTAAACAAAGAAGAGTGACGCACCGTGTTATAAAACTCCGCTATTCCAGAATAAATGAGATAATTCCCCTCACACCAGTCCACCTCCGAGCTGCCAGCCTGGAGCTGATCCCACAGATGCACGTCCATCTCAGCGCACTAAACGCGACTGAACGTCTTCACGACAGCTTTAACGCACGCATGCGGCGACAGTTGGTTTTAATCAGTGATGCATGTGCCGTCGTGTTATCTGGGCATGTCATCCTGCCATGAAGTCCGAGTCTAACGTTAATCCAGCCGCTTTCTGCCCTTCTCTGACTGTACGGCGCTGGCAATAACAACACAGCAACATGTGATTCGCGCATGCGCAGACCGCGCTGCGCTCAGACAAAGTAGCTACGAGTGCGGTGCCAATATTTACAATAATATGTTTTTAATATTTAGTATTTCTCCTTCACATTACACTAGTTGCCTGTGTGAATTTGTGGTCTACAAGAGGTTTCGTAATATTACTTAGAACAAATTAACTTAACCCATTTAATCCCAACTTTACTGACTGATGTTTTGCATTTCCTGCAAATATGGGGGAAAAAAATAAAGGGTCTCAATTAAACGTGCAGTTTCACATGATTAGTGCAAATTGTCACATGACCAGAGCAGGTTATTTCCTGTTTGCATGTTGAGAAAATGATGACTGCATCAAAGCTCTGAAACGAAAGGCTAGTATGTTAACATAAAGATTTTTGGTCCACATTGTCTTTAAGGTGTTTAGTATTAATATATGAATTCCCATATATTCATGACCGGTGGGATAACAGGGAATTTAGGTATGCAATCTAAATCCATCAGTTGTTAGTGAAAACTGCACTAAAATGTTGCAATGACAAAATATTGCACTAAATTAAAAGGTCAAATAAGTTACAATATTGATGTTGTAATACTGGTAGCATTAATATAAAAATGTTTATGATATGTTACAAAATAACAATTTTGAAATACGTTGATGGTTGTAATGTTTTGTCTTTTATCTCAGTATTCCAGTCAGTGTTGTATACGGGTTTTTTATGCATAATAGTAACCATAGAATGTGATAAAATAGCTGGGCTAAGATATATAACAATTTTTTTTTACTGCAGAAATATGATAATTCAGTATACACATTAATTACAATTACAATATATATATATATATATATACACACACAC